TTACACCCAGGACTTTGAGGCAGAAGAACGACCAACTGACATCCAAAGCAACCTTCCTCTATCCATTCTTTATGTATATATATATATATATATATGTGTGTGTGTGTGTATGTAACCGTATAACATGGTAACATAGACCCCGATAGTAGTAGGATGCGAGTGTTATGTGGGCCTCCGAACGAAGTACTTGCCCCCCTTTGCAGACACCCCCCCCGCGCCCTGAACACTTAAAGCCTTACAGGCTGAGTACCCTAGCCCAAAAAAGGTTAACCTTTTCAATTATAGTAGCATTATATAAGCCCCAAAAGGTTAAAGGCTACCTACTCAGCCCCTAAGAAGCCCTCAAGCCCTAAACTATAAAGCCCTAACTCCCTAAACCCTGAACCCGAAAACTGACACTGACGCCCCAGTGCCCAACACCCCTAAACCTTAAAACCCCAAAGCCCAAAAAGGCCCTATCTACGAACTCCCTCAAGGCCTAAGCCTATGCTATTTTTACATAGGCACATGGGGCCTTATGCTCTAAACCCTTATGGCACCCTTCAAACATAGGCGCCTTTATCATTAGAAGAGGGTTTGGGGCCCATTATACTCTAAATATAATAAGGAACCCCAGCAATAATATAGGTAATTACTTTTCCTTCGATAATAGAAACCTGAAAGGAACCCTACTCCACAATTAGGAGCCTTAGCAGCCTTAGGGAAATGGTTCCGTATTATAGTTATAGGATAATGGGCCCGAAAACCCTATTCTAATTATTAAAAGAACCTTGAGGGCTTCCTACAAAGGAAAGGGCTTGCTGTAGAGAAGGCCCTCTCTGGAACACTTAGAAAAGGAGCTGCATGCTAGATGCTACGCTGCTGGAGTGGAACGCAAGGGCGGAGGCTTGCAGCCATAGGGCCCTGATTAAGGAATCAAGCACCTCAGAAGCTTACGTTGAAACCCTAAACCCTAAACCCTAAACCTAAAGGGGCTTCGAAGCCTACTGAGAAGCAACAGCGACACCAGGCCCTCCAAGCTCGTGCCACGGAAGGCTGAAGAGGTAGACATAGGTGGTTGTCAAAATTATGGTCCCTTTTGGGGTGCCCTAAATAATAGGTGCCGTATTATAATAAGGACCCAAAAAGGGACCATAATTTTGACAACCACCCACATAGGAGCCTTAGGGCCTTTGGGAAATAAGTCCGGAAGCCTCCCGGGCCCAGCCATCGAGCGCGCTGCCCGGCGAGTCGAAGTTCCTCGCAGGAGCAGACGGCTTCAGGGTTTTAGGGTTCAGGGTTTAGGATTTTGGGTTTAGGGTTTAGGGTTTCAAAAAATATGGAAATTTGGGTTTTGAGGGTTTTTTTGGGGCCTTGGGCTCAGGAATCATCTCTCAACCCGGAGGCCCTAAAGAGTTCACCCTTGGACCCACCTTTCACGGAACACCCGTACAGCTCAGACCTAAGCACCCTCAGGCGATGCCGAAGCCCAAGCAGAACGCGGACCGTCGCAGAATTAGAGAAAAAAACCCAAATCCTGGGAAGGAGCTCGATGCAGAGAGAAGCTTCATTACAGTAAGCCCTTAAAAGCCCTAAAAACCCTAAACTCCTAGAAGCCTTGAATCCCTAAACCCTGTACACCCAAACATGCCGAATTTTGAAAACCCTAAACCCTACTCACAGCTTTGAACTTCTAAACTCGAGGCGACGACTAGGCCCGACGAAGCCCCACTGATGACCCAAGGCTCTGTTCGTCCCCTGCGTAGTGCAGCGGAATACCCGGCCAGAAGGTGATCACCACCAAGCAGACATGGAGGTGCCGGGTGCCTGGGTTTAGGGTTTAGCGTTTAGGGTTTAGGTCGAGCGCCGAACTTGAGATCGAGGTTATGACTGAACAGTAAACGTTAATACCCTGAAACAACGACGCTACAAGTAAACGGTAGACCAAAAGCAACATCTCTATCTATCGATCTATCTATCTATAAATATAAATATAGATATACATACAAATATATAAACACAAAAGCAAATAAACAAACAAATACACACACACACACACATATATATATATATATACATACGTATTTATGCTACATTGTATGAAGGTGTGCGTGTCCATATAAAAAATGTATTTTGGATGTGTGTATGTCAAATAACAGCCCGGTGCTATATATATATATACATACTTGATGATTGAGAAGAATGATGTAATTCAGTTGCATATTTGTTGACATCCAATGAATGCTCTGTTGTATACTACGGTCTTCTGATTGGCCTTACACTTCCCTCAAGCGACATCAACACAAGAGAGCAAAGGCCCTAGAGTACTCCATTCAGATTACCGGGGAAACCTAAACCCTAAACCCGAAACCAAACCCAAAAACCCTAAACCCTACACCCAAAAACCCAAAACCCAAAACCCTAAACCCAAAAACCCCAAAACCCTAAACCCCTAAAGCCCAAAACGCCTAAGTGCCTAAACCCCAAAACCCTAAACCCCAAAAACCCTAAACCCCAAAACCCCAAGACCCCTGAACCCTACAATTGCTTCAGAAATCGCGGGGCAATGGCCCCTACATTACTCCCTTCAGACATCCTAAACCCCTAAACCCTAAACCCGAAAAGCCCTAAACCCTCTTAGATCTCTTCTAGATCCCTTCAAAGGAACCCCTAACAACCCTAAAGCCCTACACCCTCTTAGATCTCTTCTAGATCCCTTTAAAGGAACCCCTAACAATCCTAAAGCCCTACATGACTCCCTTCAGAAATCCGGGGGGCTGGTCATGCTCTGCAGGCGCCAGTTGTCGTGGTTGTTGCAGAAGTTCCACATGGCGTACTCGTTTTGGGCGTTTGCCTTGGGGTCTTGCTTACAGAGATTGGGGTTCAGGGTTCCCTAAACCCTAAACCCTAAACCTTAAACCCTAAACCCCTAAACCCTAGGGTTCGGGAAGCCCGGTGGCACTTAACCCAAAGCCTTTTGCCGTTAGTTCTTCCAAGGCCCATGGACCCCAAGTTCCTACGCTTGATGATCAAAATTGGCACTTTAGGGTTTAGGGTTTAGGGTTTAGGGTTTTATACCCATAATACTATAATTCCCGTAGTTTTGGGGGTCCTTAAGGTCAGGTACTGCAGGATTTATATCATCAACAGTATCAAGTTTCAGTTGAGGATTCGGAGGGGGTGCTGCAGACGGACATGCGGCACTTCCCTGCAGAGATGTTGGAGAGTTGGGACTTCGGGGATGGTGGCTCGGGCTTCAAAGCTATGGCTGAGGGTACTTCCGGATAATATAGGGGCCTTAGTAATTAGAATAGGGTTTTGGGGCCCATGATAAAAAATGTAATAAGGAACCCCCAAAATAGTGTTGGTAATTATTTAGGCCCCGACATTACTACAAGCTCCAAGAAGAAGTCGGCCTTGGAATGCTGAACGAACTCTTATAGATAGGCTGATAGGGTCTGCTTTGTTACAGTAGCTTCTGTGAAACTTTTCGGGAGTTATTTTGCTCTGAGGCACCGGGTCGTATACGTCGATCATGCTCCTTTCCTCAGCATAAGCCAGGGCGAAGCCATCAGCATACTGAGGCTGCGAGTACACGAAGGCGGTGAACATGTACCAGTAATACCTCGGCGATTGTTGGAGATTTCAGCACGGGAGGCTTGTAAAGGACTGCCATCCGTACCTCTACCTGCTGTATGTTCTTGGCATCTTATGCAGCAGTCAGTAACTCCTCGTCGCGCTTCCTGAAGTCAACCTGCTGCGCACCCGAGCGGATCTCTGGTGTGATGGCTGGCACGAGACTTGATTGTCCCATGCTACCTGGGACCTGGCGCCTATCCATTTAAAGCTATTTCCCGATACGTCTGTCCGTTGCACATGAGATTCGGTACCATGTCACCAATAGTATGACATGGAGCTTTCCGCATGTGGGTCAATCGGTTCAATGGCGGCCCGTCGGCCCCGAGACTGGATAAGGGGGTTTAGGGTTTAGGGTTTAGGGTTTAGGGCCTAGAGTGCGTAAACAAGTACACGATCGGTTCAGTGCTTTGGAGCTTTGGGATCTAAAGTCTGGAGTACTGACTTCCAAGCTATAGGGAGGCCTAAAACCCTAAACCCTAAACCTTAAACCCAAAACCCTGAACCTAAACCCCAAACCCTAAGGGAGTTATGAAGCACGTAGACCCAACAGGCATTCGCGAAAGCCGACGTCTCATCTGCGACGTGGGACGATGCGAGTCGTTGGGTTTAGGGTTTAGGGTTTAGGGTCCATAAAACCCATTTTGAGAGCAACGAATCGTCGACATGCTCGGGACCTGCGAGGTGGGCTTTGGCTTTGGGACATGGCGCAGAAATGTGGCAAGACCGGGGATCAGGGGAATATTGCACCAGTATTGATAACGGTTGAAAGCTTATACATACACAACTCTTGTTCGCGGAGGTGCGAGTACACGATCCCGCCCTTCATGGTGGCCGGCCCGTCGATGAAGCGGTCGGTGCCATACCTTGCGGAGGCCCAGAAACAATTCAGTTCATGGCTTCGTAAAACATGTGGCCTCAGGGCTTCGGACTGTGAATATCACTCACACCACGGCCCAATGCAACAGGATTCCGGGTTTAGGCATGGGCTGTAGTTATCCTCTGCTCGCAGCACCATGTGGTCCGTCTGGTCCCAGAGGACGGACACTGCGAGGTGTTTGGAACCCCAGCTGAAAGCGACGAGCGATAAGCTGCGCAATGTAGCTCGAAAAGCTGTCCCAGAAGCTCGGGCATGACAGTGGGACTAGATACCTCCGTCGACTGTCACAGTTCGGGTGCCCATGAACCCCCTGGTTTATGCTTTATGCCTTAGGTGGGACGTAGACCTGACAGCTCAAACCGGACACCAATGTTCGACTAACGCGAGTATTGTAGGCAAATCAAAACCTGAAAATCCTGCAACACCCTATAGAAACCCGATCCAACTTGATAAATGCGAGAACAGCGAGAGAACTCCTTTCGACCGAGATGCATATTTCGATCCCGCCCTCGGCCTGTCCTGTGTGGAAAACATGCACTTTGGTCATCCACCCTCCTAATCGGCGGATCCTTCAAAGGGTTCCTTTAAAAGGGTTCTGTAACGGTTCCTCTAAAGGGCTACGAATGATATCAGGTCTTCCACAGATCCTTGTCCTAGGCCGACAGAACTGCATACTTGACGCCTGCAGGCCGTTTTCAGAGACGTCCAAAACCGGAGACTACGGTCTCTAGAAGTACACAGGGGACTCCGTTAACTCTAACCCTGTGGTGCTGATATTTGTGTAGTCTGTTGCCCCAAGGAGAATGCCAGCAGCATTCAGGATTGATCTGGTGACTATCGGGCCCTTCTCTCGCTCCAACGACGGAACTTCGAGCTGAAATCGAAGTGGAAGCGACTGTAGCCCCCCCTCACCCTCATGTCTCAAATGCTTGAGATGCACTGCAGGAACAGCAAAGCGAACATGCATAAGTCAACAAGAGTCGTGCAAGCGAGATGATGTACTGTTGGGCCTTGAGGCATTACGGCAAGATCGCAACTTGAGTTGTGAACAACATAAGAGGCCAAAGCGTTTAGGTTTAGGTGTACCAATTCGGGCAGTCGGGTTGGGGGTCCTACGGGCTTTACTGTTCTTGCCAAGGGTCATCGTGGCATACCGCTCTGGGGTCACGTAGAATTCGCCGAACAAGCCTGGCGTCGAGGATTCAGGGCGTCAGGAATTAGAGCCCTTCTCTTAGAGGCTGAGTAGCCTAGCCCAAAAAAGGTTAACCTTTGCAATTATAGTAGGATCACCTTAAGAACCCAAAACCTACTTTTTTGTAGGTTCTTATTATAAACCCTAATATGGGATTTATAGGGACCCTACAAAAAAGTAGGTTTTGTGTTCTTAAGGTATATGAGCCCCAAAGGTTAAAGGTTACCTACTCAGCCCCTAAGTTCTGGCAGGATCTCAAAACGGACGGTGGGTCCAAGGACTGGGGCCTGGGTAGGGTTTAGGGTTTAGGGTTTAGGGTTTAGGGTTTAGGGTCAGTAGCGTGTGTCCCAGGATAAGCTTAAATTCTTATGCGTAGGACATAAAGGAGCTCATCTCAACATGTGCAAGCGATACCATCCACGAAACACCATTTTGCATGAGGTGTGATGATGTAGGAAACCAAAACACCGAAGATACCTTTCAGATCTTGGCCCATGGTGTGCGCAAACCAGTCCCCCTTGAGCGTTGCATATCTCCAGCTCATTAATCTCCATGACCGAAGCGCGCTGTTCTGACTTCTAAGTCGAAGCTGGCCCAAGAATGCTGCCCCGGACTCCCGGTAGCAAGTAAATGCCAAACCCTACCGCAGTCGTGCAAACGCCCAAAGCCCTAAACTTGAACATCTGAGGCCCGAACTAAGCCCGAACAACCCGCTTCAATCAATGCTTCGATAGGATTCTAGGGGCTTTAATGGGTTGCAGCTTTCACCGGGATTCTATCTGGACCCAAGACTGGATTCCAGGAGTGGAGGGAAGCAACTGGGCTTGGAATTTGCAGGTTTAGACTCACCTGAACAGCCTTAGCGTAGGCTTTGCTAATTTGCATCTGGACTCAAACTCGATTCAGCAGATTTTGTAGCTATCGGAAAACCAACCATCTTTCTTTAAGAGCCGAGGGTGGGCCAAGGCCCACATTGCAGCACAGGGAAAAATGATTTTCTGGAGTTCCTCTTCAGCAGATATGATGTGAAGGTATTGTACATGTATATTTGTATATCATATACACCGTGGTGTATATATATATATACCAGAGTGCAAGAGTACCATCAACAATACTGTAGCATGAAGCCAAGCGAAGTCAAGGCGCCGAAACTGGCTTTGCCTCGGTTCTTGCGGTTTTAAGGCTCGCAGGGTTCAGGGTTCACGTAGGGGGTTTGGGTTTAGGGGTTCATAAATAGTTCTGTGAATTAGAGTGCTTCTTTACCACCAAGGTAGTATGGCATTCTTGTAAAGGGGCCCTCAATAGGGGGAACTACCTTCATAATGTTCAGGCGGTAGTTTAGGCAGTAGGATTTGGGAAGCCATCCGAATGCATCACAAATCATAGAACCTTCAACTACGAGCGCGCAAAGCTATGCTTAATATAGGGGCCTTAATAATCAGAATTAGGCTCTGGTGCCCTTTATGGAATAATTATAATAAGGAATGCCCACAATAATATAGGTAAATAATCAGGCCCCTATATTATGCCTGTTAGCTCTGCAATTTGTCGCTTAGCTTGCGAGGCCGCTCAGCCTTGACATATGTTCAGAGTGACGATTTTAAGGGTTCGAGTTTTCATCTCAGGTGGCTCAATGGGTCATTGCGGAAATCGGCGTCTCAGGAGGTCTTACACGCAAAGTTGAGCGTGATTCCTGGGCCGTGCGTCCTTTTTGCCTACTTGTGACGTTATCCAAAGACCAGCAACTTCGACACACCTACAGAAAGACGGCAGGCGGCATGTGCAGGTGCCTTGTACTCGTTCCTGAAGAAGCTTTTCGAGAATGCGGTCAGCTTCTCATGTTCTAGCCCGCTCCAGCTCACCGGATGTGAGGCAAGCGCTCGAGTATTAGAATCGTGTCGCTTGCCCCCTAACCATAGAGCGTTTCTTATGCCATCCGATACCCATAGTCGCATCTGCCTACAGGACGTAGTCAGTGGAAGGATCGTCGGCTTCGGATTTCCCTTGCCACTGCCAAGCCTATGGCTGAGTTTCCGGGTCCTGCCGCAATCCTGAGACCCTAAACACGGAGCCTGTTGTGGGTATCTCCATTCCTGCTTCAATACAGCCCCATGTCACCATGTAGTACATATTCAGGCCCCCAAAGCTTTTTTTGGATAGGTGTCTCTGTACAACCGCAAGGTAAGTTAACAGTGTTGACACCTTGCGATCACCTAGCTGTAGAGTGCAGGCTCGAGTAGTGCAGGAAAGCTGCCCAATGACTTGGCATGCTCCCTGACAGCCGGCGCCCAGGCCTTGTAGAAGTTGAGGGGCACTTGCCTGGAAAAAGGGTTTCTGGAGGGTTATAGGTTATACCTTAAGAACCCAAAACCTACTTTTTTGTAGGGTCCCTATAAATCCCACATTAGGGTTTATAATAAGAACCTACAAAAAAGTAGGTTTTGGGTTCTTAAGGTAGGGTCTAGGGCTCAAGCAGTGCAAAAACGCGGGCACTTGCGGCTCGTCACCTGGTGGTGCTTCTTGTAGCCAAGCCAAGCTGCTTCCAACCCATGCCCCCCCTAAACGCTCGACCCCCAAAGAGCTCTCAACCCGAAGCACCCCTCAAGTGAAATGCACTTGCCCCTTGTGTGCTGAATTTTCCGAACCGTCGCATGCTGCCGATCTAGTGCTTTCCTTGAGATGTCCCCAAACCCTACTCGTAGATACCCTCATCATACTTTATGTAATAACATCCCTGATGGTTCCCTTTGCAATTGCACCATGATGAAACCCAAGCTGGTTCCCTGTTAGGACTATACTAAACACGATCCGTGTTAATCCTTATTGGGCTTCATGATAACAAAAACCCTAAACCCTAAACCCTAAAACCCTAAACCCTACACCCTAAACCTTGTAGCCAAAAAAAGGACCCAGGACAGGCGAGAGGCATTGGCGTGTCCACACGGAAGCCATCAATGTCACAGCTCGATATCAGTGCTTTGCTCATGGCCTTGGCAAGGAAAGATACCCAAAGGGTCCAAGGTACCTATGTAGTAGGGTTTAGGGTTTAGGGTTTAGGGTTTAGGATACCCAAAGGGTCCAAGGTACCTATATAGTAGAATGTAGGGTTTGTATATTAGGAATAGTTGTTTTATGGTTGGGAGTAGTATCCCCTATGACAGTACCTAGGACCCTTTGGGCTACTACTCATCGGCCACTACGGGGCTTTGATAATAAGAAGAGCTTTCAGCTATGTGCACTATGGAAAACTTTTCGCTTTTATTGAATAAAGACGGTATGAAGATAGTAGTGCAACTTATTTTCACTTCTTATCGTTTCAAGTTGGTTTGTAAAGATTGGAATGCGCTCTTCATTTTGGAACGTTCAAGCCGACATCAGCCTGACACACACACACACAAGCAAGCACTCTGGATCTGACAATAGAGCCAGGCGCTACACATCACAAATCAACGCTGAAACAACGCACCACCCATGGATATTCCCGAAGTCCTGACTCGCAGCAGCGCCAACACCAGTTCCGGCATCGGGAGATGAAGCCAGCAACACCAACGCCAGCACAAGCACCACAAACCGCAGCACAATGACAGGGAAGGGCACCGCCACTAGCATCGCCCCCATCGGCAAAACAGCAAGCATCATTCCATCACACTGCACATCATCTCCGCTGTCAAATGCAACAGGGTAGTGGAACAAGCAAGCGTGTTGACACAACACAGCGCTCAAGGATGGCTGAGCTGATAGTGCGGCTCTGGCTGGATGAAGGGCGGTCCAAGCAATGCAGTGGTGGCTACCCCGAATGAAAGTAGAGCTGTCTCGCAACCAGAGAAGGCAATGCCGGCTTGGGCTTCAATGACATATCCATGCTTCGATGTGCCTATGCATGAATGCATGACTGCATGATTGTGAGAAAGTATGTATGTACATAGGTGTACGCAACACACACACACGCGGTTACACTAATATAGATGTCAGAGTCACAAGATACGAATGTAAGGGAAGCTTGCATAAATCAAACGAACTACAATCAAATGCCAAAACATGCCGGGATATACCATACTATGGCATGACGCAGCCTGGCAGTGACACCGTGCTAGAATATTCTCATCACGACGCAATAAACAGGTAGCCACCACCCTACTGCATGCAGAATAATTTGTTATCCGAAGATGATGACAATCTACAAGACGCATATGTGACATGTACCTGCGTAGAGCCTGATCGTTTCGGGGGCATACTAATGTAATAGGGCCCAAAAAAGCACAGAAGCAAAACTTAGGATAGCAACATCCCATATACATCCCTTTTATAATGAATCCCAATAAGGTAGGAATATCCCTATAAAATGCTTATGCTTACGTCCTTTTTGGGTCCCTAAAATATATAGGCTTCTGTAGGAAAGCCTCAGGCCCGGGCAATGTATTTCTGCTGTACGCGCGCATGCTCCAGCCGGAGGTCATCCATGGTGCCATACAGCTTTCCTGAGGTGACGGTTCAGGGTTGAGGGTTTAGGGTTCAGGGGTTTAGGATTTAGGGTTTCTGTATGGCGTGGATCTAGAGATTAGGGTTTGGGCACCAGGGCAGGATGCTGAGAGAGTTCCGAGACTTTTGGGCAAAGGTGTACACTATTGACTCAGCAAGCTCGAAACCGGGAGGTCTGAACTACGGAACGGTTTGGAATTCGAAGCCTGGCAATGTAGACAGTTTGCAATACAAGGCTTTAGAAACCGTGCCACAGAAAGCACACAAGCCAGAAGCGCGGAAACCTACGAGGAGTCTGGGATTGAGCTACTGGCAAACGGATACGAGATGAGTGATCGTCTCTCGATGAGGTAAGATTTCTATGTCCGCCGACATTGAACGAATCAAATAAGTTTGTGAAGTGGACAAAAACGGTATGTGCGAGCCATCACCTGCTCAGAAATCGAGATAGATTGGGATATACAGATACTCAGAGCCTGAGTACCCTAGCCCAAAAAGGTTAACCTTTTCAACTATAGTAGGAATATAAAAGCCCCAAAAGGTTAAAGGTTACCTACTCAGCCCCTAAGGATAGCACTAAGGCATGGAAGGCTTCAGCGGAGCATCTGCTGCTCAGGGGGCGGGGACTAGGATGGACTAGGTCGTACGGCTGATCAAATGACCCGGCTATGCCAACTTGCCTGTGCCCTAGAACTGAAGGAGAAAGACCAGTCAGCGAGTCTTCACTGGCTGCAACTTTTGTAGTTTACAGCATGCCTGAGTGTTGTCATTGTTCGATGCCTGCTTGATTATTTTTGTGATCCCTTTTCGGTTTTTGATAACTATTTGTTTGTTTATGATTCCTACTACAGGTTTCCGGTTGTGCCTCTGATCAATGGCACCAATCCTGCCCAACAGAAGGATCTTGCCTCAATGCATGTGCCAAGCTCATAGGCCGTGAATAGAGAAGCAACCCAAGCGCATAACCCTAAACCCTAAACCCTCAAGCAAAAGGCAAAACCCGCACAAAACCCGGACAAAACTCAGGACCTGAACCCTAAACAATCTGTATAAACCCTAAGCCGCGACAAGCAAGCCGTCGCCGAGCCTGTAGACTTGCTTTTGGATGCTTGAAGCTCCTCAACTTTACGACTTCGTACCAACCATGAAGTCTAAGGTCTGTAAACACATCGTAAATAGGTAGAACCAATCATAATAAGGTCTATTTAGAGAAAAGAGAATAGGAATATGACCATGTATTTATTTCAGTAGTGATATTATTTGTATATAGCGATATCATATATAGCGAATAATAAGGGGGGTCCCGGAAATAGGGGACCCTAGTATACTACCCCAAATAGTAGGACCCTTATTATAATTATAAGGACCCCCCCAAAAAGGTATATAATTATAAGTATAAGTACCACCCCAAAAAGGTATCCCTTATTTTCGGAAACTCCCGTATTATATAGCAAGAGTAGTTTCTATACGGGGGGGGAGTCCCGAGCTCCGGAAGGGGCGCCCGTCGAAGTCATCGACTTCTTTGCCTGGGGCCTTCGAGGCCTAGGCTTTCGTGCAGGGGCCTCGGTAATTGGAATAGGGTTTTGGGGTAGATTATACTATAACTTTAATAAGGAACCCCCGAAAGAGTCTAGGAAATTATTAAGGCCCCTACATTAGGGGTTCAGGGATTAAGGGTTTTGGGGTTTAGGGCTTTAGGGGTTTAGGGTTTAAGGGTTTAGGGGCTTGGGGCTGCAGCCACGTCTCCGAAGTGAATCTGGAAAGGGTCGTAGTAGTCCTGCACACGAAGTGCGTAGTCGGCTTTGGGGCCTCTGCTATACCTAGGTTCCCCAGTAGCCCCTTAATAAGACTACACTTCTTGCCACTCTTTGGTTGTTATGTGGGAACCCATAGAGAAAAAGGGCAAGCGGGTACTGCCGGGGAAACTAAATACTAAGTAGGTTAGACGACATGAACGACAGGCTTTGGGAGCTTGCAAGGCATCACGCTAGTGGAATCTGTTTACATCATGCTTGATAAACATCTCCTCTACTTGGAGGTTCATGGGTGGTTCTAAGTGGGGTTATAAGTCCCCTAATATGGGTTATAAGTATAGTTCCCCTACTTATAACCCCACTTATAACCATCCATGAACCTTCAAGTATGGGACCGGATGTCTTCTGGGCTTTATCTCCAACGTCACCCACCCTAAACCCTAAACCCTAAACCGTTGGGATGTTCTCCAAGCCCTCCAGGTTGCGTTTAGGCCTCGCCTGGAGGTCACCGTTGTGGTGGAAGTCGCTGCTGCTGTAAGTTCCCTGGCCTCCCGAACAGGGAAAAAGAAAAAACATGCAAAGACTGAAGACAGCGTTTCGTAGACAAGAATTTGTGAACAGAAAGAAAAAACATGCAAAGACTGATGACAGCGTTTCGTAGGCCTGCATGTGTGACCGTGTTTTCACGCCCCATTTTGCTGTATCTGCCTCTAGGCCGCCTAAATTTGGGCTTTTGGAGTCTTAGCTGAGCCGTACACCCATCATTGAAGCTTCTCTCTTGAGTTGCACAAGGCTTGGACCTCTGCCTCAAGCTTCGCTATATGCTTAGACATCGGCCTCCCAGCTTGGAAGAGCTAGCGCAACATTTGTGAAAGCCTCCACGGGTGTATTCAGGGTCCTGCAGGCTCCTCATGTCATCTTTCTTTCTTCGTCAGGTGCTGGCACTCGCTCCGGCTATATCGCACCAGCATGCCATCACAAGATGGATCGACATGAAAACAAACCGGAACCCTCAACTGTAGAGGCCTAACCAGGTTGAACTAGGGAGCACGCATCGCACCTTCAAAGGCATGAGAATATAGGAAACCTAAATGCAGAGACCTTAAGAAGGGGGGGCTGCACCTGTGGATCTTATCGTCAGCCTAGGCGTCGGTGTAACCACGGTGGTGATGCGAACTACGTGGAGGAATTGAACCTTGAGAAAGTCCGGAACCTTGCGGAGGAGGCACCTCCTGGAGCGACCTTGATACTTAGAAAAGCGCTTTGCGGCATGCTATGCCAAACATTATATAGGCAGTTCTCTAAACTGGGGTTCCTTTTGGGGTCCTTCATTAGAAGGGTGCCGTACTATAATGGGTACCTAAAACGGGACCCTAATTCAGAGAACTACCCATATAGGGGTTATGCGAGGATATGTGCGTTGCTGACCTTTTCACATCTCTTTTTCACGCCGAGGCTCGCTTGTTCTCGGTCTGAGGTTCAGGAAGGAAGTCAAGGGTAGCGCGGAATCCCCAAAGCAACAACCACCCATGTAATGTAGGGGCCGTAATGCTTAGAATAGGGTTTGGGGGTTCCTTACTATAAGTATAGTGTAATTTTTCCCAAACCCTACTCTAATTACTAAGGCCCCTATACTATTCTGAAGCCCCCAAACCCACCCCATTCCTGGAACCACAGACACGTAAGCCATATCTGCAGCAATCTCTGCCCAATCTCTCTTTGTTGTGCTCTCTCTTGTGGCATGCCAGAACAGAGGTTCGTTCAAGGCCGTCGGGAGGCCGAAACCCCCTTTGAAGTAACCAACAAGAAGAAAGTATAGACTCTTATTTTATAACGGTTCGTTTCAGGAACAAGTCAACAAAAAGTATTCAAGTATGGTACTCCAGATCCCAGTAAATGAACCCCAGAATGGTAGGATCCTACAGGACCCCCAACCTGAGCATCAGAAACCTCTGCAAAAATCCCTACTTGGAGGTTCATGGGTAGTTATAAGTGGGGTTATAAGTAGGGGAACTATATTTATAACCCCATATTAGGGTACTATAACCCCACTTGTAACTACCTATGAACCTCCAAGTACATATAGAACGCGATTACAACCTGCTTAAACTCTGTAGAGCACCCCAAAAAGTTACCCCTGAGTATTAATGATCCCGACCTTGTGAAGCCCTACAAACTCCTGGGAATAAAGTGCACCTGACTTTACCTAAACTCCCCCTGCATCACACCCTCTTCGAAGCGTGCGACAACAGGGTAGCACGCCTTGGTCCTCAACAGGTTCACCATGCTGGCCGTAGAGGGTGCCTGTCGCTGACGACCGGGTGCCGGATGGAAGGCTAGCTCAAGTCAAGGACTTCAGATGGATCAAGAATCCTCCAACCCGCCAGGCTAGAAGCTCCGCGAAGACAGCCAACTGTTGTGGTTTTTCAACATGCACGGGGCGCTGCTTCAGGGCTTTTGTTTCCGGCCTGATGCAGGTTGAGTGGATGTGGAGGATGCCGTGGATGTATAGTTAGAGAAGCATTTTACCAAATACGTCCAACAACCTGAGGAACCACATGTCGCTTCGCTTGGGGTCGGATGGTTCAGCAACGAGTTCCCTCCTACGTGTATACGGATTTTCAAAGCTTGACAGCATGGGCCTGACACCCAACCCACTGCCCTGTATGATTGGAGCTGTGACATCTTGACATGCGAAACTCTCCTGTAGCGCATTGAGGGGCCAGTAACCCCCCAAAAAGCCTGGAAAACTCGGGATGAAGACGCCTGTCTCAACTTAGGCTCCGCCCCAACCGCTTAAGGGACCATAGGATGGACCCCTAGAAGTCTCATAAAGCCCTATATAATCCCAAGGGTCCCTTTAAGGGTCCCTCCTTTAGTCCCTTGAACCACTGAAGCCGCGCTCCCCTCACAGGCTGACAGGTCTCAGTACATGCGTGGCGCCTGGGTAAGAAGCATCAGCATCCCAGGTGTTGTTGTACCAGAAGTCTATGTACCTCGTGAAATATAGGGCCTTAAAATAGTTTTTTTTGTTTGGGGGGGTAAATGATACTTTTGTTATAATAAGGAAACCCCCCAAAATAGTACTGGTAACTGTTTCGGGGCCCCTCCATTAGGGTGGCCCTTTAAGGCCTTTGAAACATAGTCGTCCATAAGACCCGATTAGGCCCGATTTAAGTGACAACTGCCATGGTCCCAAAGGCCGGGCCAGAATTTCAGTTACAACCCTAAACCCTAAACCCCTAAACCCCCAAACCCTAACTCCTAAAGCCCTAAACCCGAAACCCTAAACCCCTAAAGCCCTAAACCCTAAACCCTAACGCTTTCAGACTTTCAGTTATGCTCTGAGGCTGACTTGGGCTTTTGGGTTCGGCAACCAAGTCTTGCCGTTGCTATGGTGAAGGTTTAGGGTTTAGGGTTTAGGGTTTAGGGTTTAGGGTGTTTAGGGTTTAGGGTTTAGGATTTAGGGTTTAGGGTTTACGGTTTAGGGTGGAACGCCATGTTGAAATAAACCCGTGCCACTAAGAGCAAGCGGAGCTTGAGGGGGAGAGGCACGAAATGTGGATTGGCGTTGGAGGCTTTGCATCCAAGGCGCTGAGACACGATGTACCAAGTATACATCATGATTATTATTCATACCATGATTATGAAAACTGTATGCATGCAGCGCCGCATGTGGTTCTAGTACATTGGCCCAGTACTGTTGTTGCTTGTGTTTACTGACAACCCTAAGCCCACACATGCGAAAAAAGGAGGCACCGCCCCGCCAGCTCACCCTGAATCCCGAAGGCTGAAGCTGCAACTCGAAACCCTCAACCCGGAATTTCAAAAGCTGAAGCCTGAAATTTAGGGTTCCGGGTTTAGGGTTTAGGGTTTCTGAAAACAGGAACCCTAAGCCCTCAAGTATAAACCCTCAGCCGTTAATTGCAGAGCTTAGAACATTAAGCAAAGCAGTGCCGCACTCAAGTTTCACGAGGGTTTTCGGCTCTTCGGCTGGAGTGGATTCAGGGTTATAGGGGCTTAGGATTCTAGGGGTTCAGGGCTTAGGGCTATAGAGGTTTAGGGTTGTTGGGTTTAGGGTTTAAGGGGGTTAGGGTTTAAGGTTTCAAGGGTTTGCGTGGTGCCGGCTTGCAGCGTGGGGTTCGAGGATCTAGTACACCATAGCTCCACATGAACTTTTGGGTTTAGGGTTCCGGGTTGAGGCTTTGGGGGTTTCGGGACTGTAGCGTAGGGTATACTCAGGAAGCCTGAGGAAGAATGCTGGCAACGGTTCAGGTTCCTACGTTAAGCCTGCGACTTCTCGGCCCCAGAGTATGTTGTCCTATCACCATGGGAAGAACCCCCGCCAGAAACAAAAAAGTGTAGGTAGTTGTTAAGGCCCCCATAGATCTCTCAAGATCTAAACCTCCAACCTAAACCCCGAAACCCCATATTAGATCTCCAGGGATCCCTTGACTTCTCGGTTTTAAGGGACCTAGTAAGTATGGTTATGAGTACCATAATTGGAGTTACAAGTAGTTATAGTTAGAGCTGCTTGTGAATACAGGGGCCTTAATAATTAGAATAGGGCTTTGGGGCCCAGTATACTATAATTGTAATAAGGAGTCCCCAAAATAGTATTGGTAATTACACAAGGCACCTACATTAAACCCTAAACCCCGCTAAAACCCAAAAAACCTACACCCTAAACCCTCATGAGTAGCTTACTTGGAGTTAGAGGCAGTTATAAGTAGAGTTACCAGTTACCCTAATATAGTGGCCTAAATAAGTACCTTCCGTATTGTAACCATAGTATAATTGGACCCCCAAACCCTATTCTAATTATTTTCGCCACTGCATTACTCCCTTCAGAAATCCTAAACCCTAAACCCCTACATTTATATGTAGTTAGAATTAGAGTTACCAGTTTCCCTAGATCCTGCCCCTCTGTTACAAAAACCTTATAGTACCACCTTTGAGGAACCCCTTTAACGAACCCTTCAAAGGAACCCTATTCTAATTATTAAGGCCCCTCTGTTACAAAACCCTTCTAGTATCCCTTACAGTATCCCCTTTACGGAACCCTTCAAAGGAACCCTATTCTAACTATTCAGGCCCCTATACCAATCAAAAGATCCCTTATAGTATCCCCTTCAAGGAACCCCTAAAAGGAACCCTTAAAAAGAACCCTATTCTAACGTTTAAGGCCCCCATACAAATAATGAAAAGATCCCTTCTAAACCCTAAACCCTAAACCCTAAACCCCTAAGGCCCCTATACTAAACCCGAAACCCTAAACCCCTAAGGCCCCTATACTAA